CTCCTTAATTTAAGAAAAAAATTGCACTTATTTTAAGAAAATTTACTATTTAGAGTCCAATTTTTGACTGTAACCTTGGCAACCGAGAGGGGATGCTGGCAGGATCAGTGCTGCAGCTAGAAGTAGAGACGACCGGCTGTGATGAGATCACCACAGACCTGATGGACCAACAGAAGCGAGAACATTTTTAAACTGGTTCTCATACTTTAAGAAAAAATAGCTTCCTGGTCTCTGCCTCTAGGACTGGACTTAAAAACCAGACGTTAGCTGCTGTGCTTGGTGATGATAGCAGCACCGGGATGGTTCTGCATTTAGAAAACCAGGTGACTTCATGACTGGATTACTTTTAATGACGAATGTGGCAGCCATATTGGATTTGTATGGAATTAAAACAGTCTCAATTAAATTTTCCTTCCTTACACGGCTGCAAAAACTTTGCCTGTAAATATGTCGACCTTTTGGTGAACTCAAGCCAAACAATCGACACTCGATGCAGTCGAGCAGCTTCCAGCCAATGAAATCAGCTCATTTGGTCCAAAAAACAAGGAAGTTTTCCACCGGCCGCTTCTTCCGGATCAAACCAAGAGCCTTGGCAGACGGGGGTGCTGCACTAGCTGTGACCGGCTCAGTTATTTCACTCAGCCCCATTAGATGGAAAACTCTAATGGCTTTCTATTAGCAGCTACCTTACGTTTTTTAATCAGATCTATTTAACAAAAAAAACTCTTCAGCCGAGAACAAAGCTACGCCCGAATGTTGTGTCATGTGACCAAATGAGCTGATTTCATTGGCTAGAAGCTGCTCCACTGCATCCAGTGTAGATCGCTTTGGCTTCACCAGAAGGTCGACACATTCGCAGCTGAATTTTTACCAGATATTAATTCAGTGTAAGGAATTCAATGTGTAAAAATATGCTAAAAAAAAGGCAGATTTCAATTATTAATTTGTTTTAAATATATTTTTATTGTTATTAAAACAGATGTACAATGCCATCGTAGTGTTTTTCAGTTGTTTGGACCATATACAGTATAACAAGAATCAAACAGCATTTTAACATTTTTATATTTTTATAAACCCCATCCAACCCCAAAAACCCCTGTGCCAGCAAGAAAATAAAAATAACTAAATAAAAAAAGAAAAAAATAGATTTTTATCCCAAAATGAAAACACTTTACATTGAGACTGGTTTACTAGCGAGAAGGGAGATTTGTAAGTTTGTCTAAATAACCCAATAAAGGGTCCCATACGTAGGAGTAAAAACTTTTGGTTGATCCTTAAAGTATTTCACTTTTTCAATTTTTAGGAACATCATCCTATCTGAGAGCCACATTGCTGCCTTAGGTTAGACTGTTTGCTTCCATAGATTTGGATTTAAAGCTAAATAAACTCTTTATTTTTTAACTGCTGCTGATAAATATAGATATAAAGCTATAGAAATGTTAGTATCTAGAGGTTTTTATTTTTCTGTTGTGTTTGTCTTTATTTCTTTTTAACACTATATTGCTCTATTTTTTAATGCCAGTTTCCCAGATTTTCTCTAAATCTTTTGCTGAAACTGTAGGAAATGTAAACATTTAGGAGAAAATGAATGAAATGACAGAGAGAGAGTAAATAAGACCCGTTCCCTGCTGTTTCCAGGAGCAGCAGGATGTCGCCTCCTGCTGCTCCTGGAAACGCTTTATTTCCTGCAGCAGCTGAACTCTGCCCGGTTGCCCTGATGAAGCTGAACTCCTGTCTGTCGTTCGCAGCAACCAGATGGCGTCCACGTGTCACAGTGCGCCGGTGCTGCGGGTGGAGGAGTGGCCCCTACCCGGGGACTCGCTGACCTGCGACACAGTGCGGGCGCTGATCGACAGGGTGAGCCGGCTGCAGATAAACCCCGGGACTCCCTCAGCTGTTCAGCCGCGTTGATGCCGTTTTCTACCTGTGCCTCCTGCAGGTGAACAGCAGTGCGCGGGGGGGCGTTCGCTTCGTCGGTTCCGTTCTGCAGCAGGTGAGCGGCGTCACCAACGGCCGTGTGCACAGTCCCAAAAGGGGCTGCCGCTCCCCACCTCGTACACCCCCCCAAACCCCACCTGGAGACAGAGACCTGGAGGACAACGCCTACAGTCCAGGTGAGCCCCTCCCTGATTGGCTGGATTCACTGTCAGAGCACCAGGTGAGCGGCACGGATGGAAGCGGCTGAAATTTTCAGTTTTTAACATCTTTATTTTTATCTGTTTTCCTCATAATCCAAACTAAGACTTGAGGCTGCTGGTCTTCTTCCATTCCTGGCCCCCCGGCTGTGCTCCTCTGGACTCCCTGGGCTGTCAGTACCACCAGGGGGCGCTCTCCATGCGGGTCTCCAGGAAGGGCCAAGTGGTCAGCGCCCTGGAGGCGGACTGGCTGGAGCTGACTGCTGCTTACTACCGCAGAGGCTGGTCACTGGTGGACTCCTTTGTCTACTGGGACACACCTAAAGGTTGGTCTAAATGGGGGGGCGGGGCTAAAGTTAAAGCAGGTGGAGAAATTTTACTTCCAATTCCGTCGTCCTACAATTGAAAATTTCAGTTTAACACAAAGTGTTCATTATTAGTAAT